AATTTATGGTGGTGATAGCTTAACTAGTTTAAACACTGTCATCCATCTTGGGTCCCCTCACTGGGAGAAAGGTGACCTAGAAATGAAACAGATAGGCAGACAAACAAATAAAACCCTGCAGTTTTAAATATGTGCTTCATATTTTATTCAAGTAAAAGTTTTTTTAATAGATCCTTTGACTGACTATGTATATCAGAGAGACACAGATGCGATCCCTCATTTGTTTGCTTCTCAGGCATTATCTCTTCAGGAACAGGCGGAAAAGCTTCAACTGGACAGTGATCTGGAGAGAAAGCAGATCCAATATAAACTCAGTGCCATGTTAGAAAAAAGAAGACGCATCAATGATCTCTCTCAAAGCAGGCAAGAAAAACTGCACACAGCTTTCCTATTGGCTCTCTTCCACCAGAATCTAGCAGAGGTAAGAAGAGGTACATTTGGGGAGTGAAAATTTTAACTCTTTCTGGAGCTATCCACAGGTTACTGTGACCACCTTTCCTATTGGGTAATCTATGAACTGGTTCAATGTGTATGTTGTAGCATTTGTCAGCATACAGGCCATCACACCATATAGAACCCACACTTATAAATTATTAATAGGGCATGGCATACCTGGATAGTTTTCAGAAGTCAGATAGTCCAATGGTTATGAAGATTCTATATATATTTAAAGGAATGTAGTGTACTTCAGGTGTTAAAAGAAAACCATGAGAGCTCCCACAGTTCATCCTATGAAATTTCTAAAAACATGGGTGAGCAGAGTTTGGTGGGATGTGAGAGAAGGCTTGCTCCGTGGCTGTGAAACTCTTTTCCAAAGGAGGCTAGACTGAACTCCTTTCTGTCATTCTTCTGATACCCTGTTTCCCCGAAAATAAGACCTAACCTGAAAATAAGCCCTAGTATGATTTTTCAGGATGCTCATAATATAAGCCCTACCCCCCAAAGTAAGCCCCAGTTAAGTGAAACCCCGCCCTCCACCATTGTGCAGCAACCAGAAGAAGGTGACATGACTCCATTTGAACAAATGTAGATTGTTGTACATGAAAAAAAGACATCCTTTGAAAATAAGCCCTAATGCATTTTTGGAGCAAAAATTAATATAAGACCTTGTCTTATTTTTGGGGAAACATGGGTAATAGGCAAATACCTTTTAATTCCAGCAGGATTAGCCCTATCCAAAAAATAAGCTCCAGTTAAGTGAAACCCCGCCCTCCACCACTGTGCAGTAACCAGAAAAAGATGATACGACTCCATTTGAACAAATGTTGATTGTTGTACATAAAAAAAAAGACATCCCTTGAAAATAAGCCCTAATGCATTTTTGGAGCAAAAATTAATATAAGACCTTGTCTTATTTTGGGGGAAACGTGGGTAATAGGTAAATACCTTTTAATTCCAGCAGGATTTTAACAATTGATTGGCTAGTTAAAGAATGTGATGTTTCCATCTTGACGCGGCGTCGAGACAGTAGCGGGAGGACGGAGCTCCATCCCCTGGGCTGAATTCTGACCTGTCTGGGAGCCCCCAGTTGGTTAAAACCACCCCGAAGAGGGGGTGGAATGGGGGAGAAGCCTGTTGATCACAGGGAGAATGGCAGTTACCCACGTTTGATCCAAGAAACTCCCCAATCAACCAGTGGGCAGAAACAAGCAGCTGAACTAGCTAGCTTACAAGCCATTGTCAGCCAGCAATAGAGAAGTGATAAATCAGCCTAATTAACTTTGTGTTGCCACTCGGTGAGAAATGTTTTTTAAACTGTATTGCTTTAGTATTCCTGGACGAGACAATTCCTACAACAGAAATAGCATTTTCTATTCCCCAACACTGATTGGGCAGCGGTGAATCTGGAGAGAGCAGGAGATGCAGGGAAGGAAAATAAATTGGATTTTAATTAGACATGCAGGGAGACAGAAGGAAAATACAGTAAATTGGATTTTAATTAGACATTTAATTATACTTCAAGAAAGGAAGTTTGATATTACGTTGTCATTAAAAATTTAAGAATCTTTATCCTGAAAACATCATTGGCAACAACACTGGGAAACTAAAATTTGTTTATGCTACTTGTAACAGCTATCTAAGGTGTTGGCAAAAAGCGTAGAATCAATGACCTTGAACACTTTATGGCTGTTTGGAATTCTCTTTCTTTTTGAGGATGGAACTGAACTACAGATAAATTAATCCTAGAAAGCCCAATCCAGGCAAAGTGGAACTTCTAAAATGTATCCTGGGTTCTGAATTTGATTGTACTTTGAGCCTCTAGGTGGGGAAAACTGTCTACGTCTGAAACTGGATTCAAGCTTAATCCTAAAGAGTATCAAGCTATTAAAGTGGACATATGGAAACAAGTATTGATGGAATTGGATTACTTTAAGCATCTGGACAACCTTCACTTGGAATACAATTATTTGACATCTGGGACATAAGGCCACAACAAGGAAAATTTTGGGATGAAACAAAATATACTCTTCAATTTTAGAAATAGTGAGATCCCATAACAAAGAGGTGAAATTATTCAAGGAGCAGTTGAAGAAGAACTATCATCAACAGGAGACAGGGAATAATGAACAAGGAAATGAGAGTGTGGTAGATGATGTATGCCAATCAAAAGAGGGGCTGGAGGAAATTATAGGAGAAAACCTAGAGAACCCTGGAGCTGAAGAGAGTTTTAGGTGTGCTAATGGAAGATAAAGGGAGAGAATCAACAGACCTAATAAAAAAGAGCCTGGATGAGCTATTGGAGATTGATCAAATCTATAAAATGTTCTCAGGTGGCACAAGGCACTGCGTGGCCGTGCGCCTGTCTCCCTGTCTCCCGCTTCACCTCCTCCTCTTCCTCCGGAGGCTTCTTCCGAAGTGCCCGCCAGCCAGCTGGGAGAAAATGCAGGCTGGCGCTTCGGAAGGAGCGGGGGAGGGCTCCCCCACGCTCCTTCTGAAGCACCTGCTGGCCAGCTGGGGGGAAATGCCGGCAGGGGGTTTGGGGGGGCCACGGGGAGCCCTCCCCCCCGGTCGCCCC